ATTTTTTGAATATTTTGTGTTAAACAGTTACTTGATAGACATCATAAACTATTATTGAAGAATAGTCCAAAAGCCAGAACTGTTTGATTGAAATTTCTGGTTGCTAAGCTGTAGAATAAAACCTTTTTCTTCTGTATTTTCTTTCCAAACTATTTGTTTTGAAGTTTTTTTCACAACAGCGAGACAGGTTCAGCAGAAAAAGTAGAAGCTATATTTTTATCCAGTTAATACAAAAACAATTTAAACTCCTCTGGAGCTGCATGGAAGGGCGAATATAGAGTTTGAGCGAAGAACCTATTTAAAGTTAAGGGGTTCTCACTTTGTTTTCTGTGCTGCCTGTCACGGTCTCAGGAACCAATTGAAAAGGGTTTTCAGAAAGAGTAATTTTGGGTTGGTTGTAGAAAAAGATCTGTACTTTTGGATTGTCTTTGGAAATTTACTGCGGGGACTATTTTTCAACTCACCATTGTCATAAATGCTTTCTGTTGGTGGGTACCACTACTCAGAACAGCACAAACTGGTGCAAAGATTAAAACCACACTGGAAGATGTCAGGTGGATGTTTGGCCTCAAAGTAAAAACACAGAAGTGAAGGCTAGAGAAATTTTCACTCAAGTAAAAATCACTGCTGTAATAAATCCTATGTTTAAATTTTTAGAAAGACATGTAAGGGAGCGGAAGAACATGTTCCCTTCAAGGGGGAGGACAAGTCAGGAGTCAAAAGTAACCTTCACAGAGGCAGGCTGGACATCAGTAGGTACTGTCCCACAAGGTCTGAACAAGATCAGGCTGGTGATAGTGGCAGGCTTCACCAGGACAAAACCTGTGGATACCCCTGGGCTTCTGACATAAGGGTACTATAATCTGAAGTTTTGCTTTGTGTTTATTTATTGTGGTATTACTTTAACTTCAAGCCAGTGATGAAACATCTAAAAACTGATGACAATTTGTATTTGGATCCAAATACTCTTATCACTATGGGCTGATTATTTGAAAACAGACTGGAATTTTGTGCTTTGTTGCATCTCTTCAAAGCAAATTCAACACATGTGTCCTCAGGCAGGTTTGCAAATGGATGTCACTTGAAGGATTCTTGGTTTCAGTGGCAACTATTCATGATATCACAGCGTGCCAAAAGCAGTACCCAATCCTTCTTATTTAAATTGCATACTTCACCACTGGGAATTTGTAAAAGAAAACAATTCCCATTACTTCTGCAACTCTTGAACTGAGATTATTTGTACCCCATCTGCTGACTCCAAAGCAATAATTAACTAAGCACACTATTTCCTGAGCAATTGATAATGCTGGCAGGAACAAAAAGGTTGTTTGGCATGACTAAAGGTATCTTTGAGCAGAGATATATCATAAAGGCCTTGATTTCCTATAATCAGGAAAATTCTAAAGTGCCATAGGTGTTTTGGCCTGGTTTCACTGGTTAGGAAACACCACTGTAAAGACAGCATATTACTGCATAGGTCTTGTTATATAAACTGTAGATATTAAACTGAAACAGATGTGTTGATTTCAGTTTGGCTCAAAACACACACAAGAAACCAGTGTTTGCCAAATGGAAAAGGATAAAAAGCAGTTGATAAAATGTTATTTTCATACATCTGAGATAATTACAACCAGTAGGCAGTGAAACAAAATTAAAATCTATAAAGAATAAGCTGGCAGTAGCTGACAGTAGATGCTACGGAGAGGTAAAATCCTTGTCAGAGAACCAAGGCAGTAGACAAGTAGAACTATGTAAGGAAAAATTGCATTTTCTATAAAGCTCATGACATAAGGTTTAATACTAATTTATGATGACTTTCATGTCCACAAAAGGTATTAATGGTTGTAACATTAGCCTTCTTTTTCAACTCTATCCATAGTATTTCACTTAATGACCTTGTGCAGGGCTATGTCTCTCGTAAGTAAATACTTCTCTTTCTAATCAGAATTTATTGCCTTTTAATTTGCAATCCTATGTTGTTATATGATGGGACAAGTTTAATAAAAGGAGAGATTGATCAGTTTATTACTATACTAGTAGCAATTTTGTATACCTCCATCAAGTCTCCTGTTACTCTTGTTCTGTCTGGGTAAATCTCTCATTCAATATAAATCCCACTTTACCTTGATTTCTACTCTGAAATTCATCAGTCTCTGCTTTATCTTTCTTGAGAGTGAGTCAACCAAAACTGAGCTTAATATTACCAGTCAGAATTGATCATTTTTATGTGGTGCTATGTATTTCCTATATTGTTTCTATCCATTTTAAAATGCAGTATTTTAAAATAATCCTTAAAATGTGGCATTTTTCTTTAAGGCAAGAAGTCTTCTTAGAAGTTTCAGTATGCAGAGGTACACGCAAACTGAATTTTTATTTTGTCTTTTCAAGAAATTTTTTTATATCAACACTTTTTTTCCTCAAGAATTGAAAACAAACGAGCTCTGTCAAATTGGACAACGCTGTGTCTAGGAAACTGTTAGAGGTAATGCCGATTAGTTAGTGAGCTAAAACCATAGCCACAGTTTTCTGTTGATTGTCCAAGGCAGGCGGTTACTGAGTTTATCTATAAGATAACTCTTAAACAAAATATATTTAGCTAGTTAGATTCAATAACAGGGAATTACATTTATTCAATGGAGTGCACAGAATTATATTTTGAATTATGGTCTAGGGAGGGTAATAGAGTGGGTGTTAACGTTGTTAGTTTAGAAGCAGTTATTTTTCTGAATTGGGGTTCTGAGTATACTTACTGCGATGTGGAACCAAGTCAGTAAAATATCTAGGTATTTAAACAGGACTCAAAAACATCTGAGAGTCTAAAGGAAATCAGCAGTTGATACGTTTGAAAAAATAATTTAACAGGGACTTTTATATATAAGGGCTTGGTGCTGTAGACAGCTCTACCTTTGTCCTGTGTGTCTCTCATTTGGAGTACAGTAGAAAATGTAGGTCTGTATGTTGTCTACTTCACCCAATGTCTTATACTGATCTCACACAGAAGGACATGCCCTGCATGTACTAAATATGCATAATGATGGGTTTTTCTTTGCTCAGTGAGAACAGGGTACTACAAAGGTGATTTGGATTTACTGCTGTTCAGAAACTCTTGACTGAAAACTATTATGTGTTCAGTGTTTATCCAAACAGGATAGCACTATATAGAGATGTTTTTCTTTAGTGTTCTGCCTCTGATGGCTGTTCTAGCCACATCTTTGAAGGGTTTGAAGGCCTTTGGAGTTTTGTGATGGATGTTATCCAGTAAGATGATTACATGATCAACTGTAAATGTGTTAAGTCAGATCTTATACTGAGTCCAATGTGTAGTGTTACTCTTTCTTTCAGTACTTGATCTACATTTTGACAATGACAACCTACTAAATCAATTATTTCACTTTGACCAAAGTGTTATTTTATTGTTAATATTTGCAGTTCTATCATATTTCTCAATTTATTCTATCTTCTTTTCTAAATCAGTCTCAATATAGCAAAATAGGAAAAACTGTTATAGAATTTTTTTTTGTTTGAATCAGCGGCAGCCACAATTTTGTTCTAAACAAACTGATATCATGATGAGAGAATTCATTAATTGATGGTACTATAAAGCTTTCCATTCTTTATAAAATTTTCTTCTGTTTAATAAAAGCTACTTGTGAGCAGCTGATCATAAGAAAATGAATGACGCCTAAAAGCTATGTTGGAACAGTCATCCCACAGTCTCACATCTTTTTTTTTTTTTTTATTAGATCTATAATTAATCCTCACTTATACCAAATGTGTGTGACTCAGACACACTGACAGAGGGCTGATGACAAAACATGTTATTGTTGATGTTGTAAAAGATGCACTATGAGCATCTTCCAAGGTTTGGAGAACACCCCCTTGTTCAAGCTGTTTACTCAGTAATCACAAAATCACAAGAACTGTCTCAATGCACTCTTCAAAACAACCATTTTTTTTTTGTTTTGTTTTGTTGTTCGTGTTTTTTTAAAATTATTTATTTGTTTATTTATTTTTAGGATTAATACAGTCCTTGATGAAATTCCAGAAATACTTCTTTCCCTATCTGCTGGATATTTGTTCTATATTTAGGCAATTGGTAAGAGTAGCTAGCTCAGGTAAAGCAGCTGATCAGCCAGGCTTCACGTCTCTATTTACATCCCTGAAACCCCAGAGGACAGAAAAGTCTTTTAATTGGTGAGTCAACCTCAGTAGGAACATGCTTTTAGGAAATGAGGCCTAGACCGTTCCCTTCACATCGGGCACACTCGCTCTGGTTGCCATGGCAATCTGCTGGAGCACGCTAGGTCCAATGAGGTGGAAAACAAGATGGCTTCCTCATTTGTTTAGCCTTAAGGAAAATTACAGATATTAACAAATCATTACAGGGCTAACAGACACTCTGAAGACCTGACCTAAATAAACAGCATCTTGTCAGATTGCTAATAGCTGCCCAAGTTTTACTTCTTTGGCTCTCCTGAAAGTACTTAGTTAATGAAGATTTTATAACCCTCGATATTTGTTTTTCTCTACCTGCAAGTAAAATCCTGTACTTTGAATGTTAGGGGGGCCCTCCTATTCAGCTAGGCGCATTTAATTTGTCAATCATTTGGAAAGATATTTAAATCTTAAAAAATAACAGCTGACACTTTTGTGAATATAAAACCAAATCAATGGATTGTTCTTGTAACTGTCCCCTGGGAAGGATTTTTTGTATTTCACAGAAGGCTCTTCCTTCCCTGGTGCAGAGCAGCTGACACGCTGCTCATGGTGGTAGAGTGAGGTCTCAGCCTCCTCGGCCTCTGCAGGGCTATGGAGGGTGACGTGTCTGAGAGGAAAAACATTTCATATAAAGTTGGTGCTTTGAGGACGGGGAAAGAGGAAAATTAAAAGCAGGCATGAAAAAAAGGCATACTAGGGAATGAACCCATCTGTTAAAAATATAGGAGGAAGTGACAGCCAAAATCTGTAACTGCAGATACAATGGTGGTAGGCTCAGAAAAGATTACGTCTTTCAAGTTTTCTGGGTTAAATGGTCTGTAATTTCAAAGCAGCCGATTTGTTGGTGCTGATTTGTTGGTGCCAGTCCACTTCCTCAGAGCCTGCTCCCTGGGGAATGAAAGATGAAGGTGAGGAATTTCACAAGTTGCTGAAAGGACCGTTTAAAAAAAGACTTGTTTTGGTAAGCCCTCTGACATACCTTGTATTTACTGGGAGTAAAGACCAGTGTCCTCTGGAATCTGAACAATGGAAGAAAGCAATTAACAGAGAAAACACATGGGACAAGTTTACTGCTTCCTTGATTGAATTGTGTCAGTGACAGATACACATATGAAGGCACATGCTCCCCCATCTAGCTCTGTGCACTGAAGTACATAACTGGGGAAACTATTCCTTTGGCTTCTTTGCTAGTTTTAAAATGTAATTGCTCTTGTTTCCAGTTTGGCCCAGGTGTTTGGGAGGTTCTTTCTGCACTGAAATCAATTTTATAAACAGTAGAAAATACCAACACAGGGTGCTCCTTTTCACATCTAAAAGAGCAGTCCAAGGACAACAAGACCTAATTAAATTAGATGGCTTCCCTACGAAAAAAATTAACCACATTCCAATATCATCATACTTATGCTGAGAATCTGAATTGTTCAAATTCTTATTAATTATTTCAACAGCGATTCTTTCTATCTCTATGAATTTCCTTGCTCTAAAATTCACACTTGCAACTGAAATAATAGCATGAGTTTCAATTATTTTCCAAGACAACTTGCAATTTCAGTCAGAGCACACATGGGCTTAGCAGAGTGAACTGGAAACATGGTGGATCCAGACACTTAATGCAACCATCTGAAAATTGTTTATTCATTATGATCTGGATGTTTTATTATATTAATATATTATGATACAGTACAACTTGCACCAGGTATACTACCTGCATACATAATTTCACTTGCACTTTTCTTTTCATATCGTGTATCAATTACGTAAATTTCAAAAAACAGCAGTGTGCACTGTGACAGATTTATTTTCTTAGTATACCAAATTTACCTAGTTCAAATATCCTTTAATAAAAAAGATAAAATGTTGTGTTTGATTTCATGCATTAGTTTATCACTACTTTTTTTTTTTAAAAAATAAATCCATCTCTTATGTGTGTCTTATTTATCAGGTGTAGCTGTGATAATGTTGCACTGTGCTTCTCTCTGCTCTGATGTTGCAGATGTAAGATTTCTGATATGCTTCATGAAGCATCATGTTAATGTGCCATCTTTAATGATGGACAAGATTTACAAATTGAGTAGAATAAGGAGAATTCTGGTTTGGTCATGGGTGGACTTAAACCAATTTGATATACTCAATTATCTAATCAAAGGTTTGGGTTTACAGCTGAAATGTATCCAAATATTGGCTGTTCATATGTATGGAAAGCTACAAATATCCTGAGACAAATTCAAGAGTATTTAATGAGAATTCTCTCATATTTTACCCCTTTTCTTGGAAAGATACAGCCCTTGACTCTAGATGTTCCTGTGGAGCATTTGTCTTGTGTCACTAAGCATGTTAAGAGGTAATGTGAACATGTATAAAGAAGGAATTACTCCCTGCACAGTTTCAACAGTGAAAGCTTGGTTCTGATTCATTTAGGCATAACAAAAAGCTCTGGGTGCACTATTATTTTCATTTTAAATGATTTGTCTATCACAATATCATTGAATTCTCAAGCTTTTAGTTCTGGGAAAGCAAAATATTTGAATGGTATTCTCAGAGCTTCAGCTGGCTAAAGGATGAAAATCCCTGATAGTTCTTACAGGAAGGCTGGTTATATATTAAAAAAAAAAAAAAAGAGAAGGAAAGATAATTTTAAAATGAATGGGGAAAGAATGAAGCCAAAGATAATGATATTAATAGGAGATAACAATTGAAAAAGGAATGTGATGGTTTGAAAAATGTTTAGAAAATCATTCAACTACTGTTCATAAGGAGAGATGAAGTTGTTGGATGTGGCTTTGTGCTGTTACACTTTGTAAATCTTTCCTCTGTAATGAATGACCTCTTTCATTCCGGTGCAGAGGAAGAGTAACACATTTTCCTCCTCTAATTACGCCATGCATTCATGTTCATTCCTTAGCGTTTCTGGACCCTTGGGACTTTGTAGAACTGAGTACTGTGGAATGGGCTCTTGAAATTCTTGGATGATTGTAGCTAGGATGACTGTCTGGAGGGGACAAAGCCTGGCTACAAGTGTCTGATCTATGGATCTATAGACCACTCTTTTCAATTTGGGCCAACAGCTTTGTCCTTTCCCAAGAGTCCCTACTGGCATTTCTAGATCTCCTGCTAGATTTCCTGGTTTTTTTTTTCTTTTTTTTTTTTTTTTTTTCTTTTTCTTTTTTTCTTTTTGTGGTGATAGATCCTATGAAAAGAAAATATTATTTATAATATGCTTATATTGTGGAAAATAATTTAATATTCCTTGCATTTTTGGTCATGTAGTGGGTCATGGGAATCAGAAGTTTATTTAAGGTCAGTTAGCAAAACGCCACAGCAGCAACAAAGGATATGAAAAAAGGTGGGGGGGGGGGAGGAAAAAAGAGAGTAAGAGAAGGAAAAAGAGAAGAAAAATAAAGGAAAGTGAGAATTTTTCTATCTGAGAAAATGATATTTTCTCTGAATGAAGAAAACAAGGTGAAGGATGAAGTTACCTCATCACATGAGCATCCTTGGGGTGGGGGTTGGAGGATGCAGTGGGAGGGAAGAAATAGTATGGAACCACTACTCAGAGCAGCCTAAAGCCTGTAACTGGTTGGGGATCCTTGTCCTGACTTATGCTTGGGCAGAAATAAATGAGATTTTCCATCCTGGGGGGCAGGTTTGACTTAACAATCTATCATATCAGAGCCAGGCTGTGTTCAAAACAAGGTTAAATTCAACATGGTTTCTCCATTGGTCTTTTCTTTCCAATGGTATTGGGAAATTGTTATCTTTTGCCATGTCCAGAAATAGATACTACTTTTGCCTGTACTTAGGAAATTCACATCTTTATTTTTTCAGACAAAGTACTCAGTAATAACTAGTTCCAGTTGTAGTTCTTGTTATTATTGTCTCACCACTATTATAAAATAGTCATACCTTTCTGAAATGAGTCTTACCTTGAATTCTTTTGGTGTAGTTTCTGTCCCAGTATGATTTTTATGTTATTATTTAAAACTTGAACATAAAAGATGGACCATTTCTGAACAAGTCAGAGAAAAATTCCATTCTCTTTTGTTTCCCTTTTGCTGTTTTTGCATTTCATTTAGAAGGAGATTTGAAAGGTGTCATTTGACATAAAAAGTCTTCACTAAGAGGCAGTGAACCTTAGACTGTTGGAGAAATAAATATTTCCTGTGCTATGTGTAACTCTGAACTTTAGAATATGATCCAGTCATTAAGAAATGCATTGCAGCTTAAAAACTCTAACCTCACAGAGAGGGATAAAGTTGAAAGGAGTTGTGGATTCTGAAAGGAATTGTGAATTCCTTATTTTCAAGGAATAACTGTGCAGACTTAATTTTACATTTGTGTCTTTTTAAACTTTTAATTCATGTTACTGAGCTTTCTCTCAGTCTTCGCTCTGTCTCTTAAGAAATTATCTTCCCTTTCCATTATTTGCCCAGTGTCAGGGTTTGCAACAAAAGCAAACCACTTTTCTTCTTTTTCCTCTTTATTTCCTCTCCCCCTCTACAATTTATATTCATTTGGTTGTCTGCCGATTATAATAGATGTATCACTTGCACTCACTGCTGAATGCCAGCTGCATGTGGACATTAGCCACTTTTCTTCTGACCAAGCCTGTCTGTCACAGATCTTTTGGTTTTTCCTCTTTCTGCTGCCAGTAATCGTGTTTTTAATTATTTTGTATTCTGTGTACACAAACACAGATTATTTAAAATCCCTTCCTTCTCTCTTCAGAGATCAATCTCCATCATATGTTTTCATTTTCATTAAGTATTACCTTCTCTCTCTCATTGTCTTGTTTCTAATTATGGTATATGTTAGTTGTGTTTTGATAGATGGTTGCCCAAAACACCAGAACGATGTTTAAATTACCATGGTCAGACATCAGCTGCTTTTTCCTGAGAGTGCAATTCCTCCCCTTTGCAAAAGTATCATCATATTTCTGCTTAGCTTCATGTAAAAGGCTAACACATGCCTCATGGATACTAGCAATTGAATTCTATGAGGAATAATTTTTCTGAAGTCTAAAGTTTTATTAGTGGTGGTTAGAGGCACTACAACAGTCCAAAGAGGTTTCCTTCAGTGCAGGTCTTAGGGGCGGACAACATAAATCCAGTCTAGAGTTAAAATCAGGAAGACTTTAATTATGAATGAAAAGTGCAGAGGTTGCCTTAGTTCTTGGTTGGGTTTTTTTGTTGGTGTTGTTTTTTCTTTTCCTCTCTTCAGATTACTCTTGGAGACCAATGAGAAATGTTTGCTGGCACTTTTAGAAAATACAGCTGGGGTCTACTTCCAGACATTAAGCTGAGTATAATCTAAATGTCCTATAAATATTCATGTTAAATCAATCTGGTAAGCTTGGTGTGCATTCCACAGCCTTTGCACAGAACTTTAGAAAAAATGTTAGACTGGCTCAGTACTTGCCAACACAGCACTGGGTTGATGCTGCAAGAAGAGAGCAAAAAACTGATTACCTGGAATAATGAAGAAAAATTCTTCCTTGGTGGCCAGGGAAGATCTACACTGCTGTCAAGCCAAATCAAGGAGTGTGGAGATATGACTTGGGAATTGAAATTGTTCTCCTCAAAAACTTGCCTAGTCACAGGAATCTCCTTTTTCAGCAAGAAATGGCCCAAAGGGAATGACCAGTGTGGTCAAAACTACAGTAAGTACAAAAGCGTACCTTGGTTTTCATCCTACTCTCTCCAAAGTCAAATGTTTTTCTGTATCTATATTCTTCTACTTAAAGCAACTCAAAAAGTTGCCACAGCTTTGCCTATTGGTGTCAGCCACTTTCTTTGGTTCCCTTTCCTGTCATGCACTCCCTTGGGTCACCTCTATGCTCTGGCTTGTGAGGTTCTGAGGGCTGAACTGTGCTTCTAATGCCGACACAGAAATACAAACATGGACAGTTTGAGTCATGTAGAAACCTTATGGTACACTCAAGTCATGCAGCCCATTGAAGACTGCTCTTTTTTAGTAGCTGGTAGTCTTTTCCCAAATAAGGATGGCTAATTGTAAAATGCATTGCACTTCCTAGCTGTAGACTTTGCTTCTCTGGCTCCCTTTTGAGCAAATATTTGGAAACTCTGGTATGCGCCTATGTCTTTATTAGAGTTGCAGTTCTAAACTGTGTTGGAGGCAGGGATATAGTACCAATTTATTCAGAGACACATACTAAGGAGGTTGTGCAAACTAGGGAAATTTTGCACAGTAAGGTCATGATCTGTGCTTTGTCCATATAGGAACTAAAATTTTCAAAAAAAGATATCAGGGAGAACTTGAAGGATTTGGAAACTGAGACCTGAAACATAGTGTTCTTCTGCAGTCTTAGAAGAAAAATAAGCCATGCACATTTTCAATCTGGCAAAAATTTGGCAATAATATTAGAACACTTGTCTCTATCAAAGCATTCAGAAACATGTTAAAGTAAACAAATCCAGCTAGCAGCAGACTAAAGTTGATCTAAAGTAAAAAGCAAAATCCAACAAAATCCTACAAAATATAGTTAGTCCCTAGTTATTGTTAAATAATTTATTCTACTATTACTAACTAATAGTGGGTACCAAAAGCCATATACATAATGCCTTGGGTTTGCATACTGTATCTAGGTGGATGTGAATTTTCAAAATCTTTGAACTTGGTTTGTTTTATTCATGCTTTCTATATATGCTCCTATTATATATGCGTGTGTGCATTATATATGTGTATACATATATGTATGCTCACTTATGTCTGTATGCATATTATAGTGAGAAAAAGTATTTAAGTAGGAGACTTAAGGGCTTGTTTATCTCGTCAAGAGAGGACTAAATGGAAGAAGTTTTTATTTTGTTTTTTTTTTGTTAATGAGTTGGATCTAATTTTTACAAATTCTAAAGCTGACCCAGACATGCCAAAGCAGGGTTTGAGCTGATGAGCAGCTTTTCTTTAGATTCACATTCACTGTGAGAAGTTTAGCAGTGGAATTTCCAGAACTGCCAAAGCACTTGAGTAGCAGAAGACTTACTGAACTCAATGGGATTTATCAATACCCTACTAAGATGAGTGATGTTTTACATCTGACTGTTTCACAGACAACACCTTGGAAAAACTAGAAGACTGACTTAAAAAGTGATGCACTCCCTCCCACCAGGAATATGTACCCACTGGAGGGGCTTCCTGCCAGTGTCTGCCAAGGAGAATAGATGGGATCAAAAGGGCTGGTGTGAGAGGTGGCTGCTTTAGCTTTATATATGTAGTTTGCTCTGCCTGAGAACCACTTCTGAGAAAAGGAAAGGCATGTTATGTGTTGGAAAATAGTTTGTTTTGGGAATAATGTCAGAAAGTGTGCATTAGACTGTTAGTGTTCAATATTCCTAGGCAGAGTAAGGATACTAGAGTAAGGCAGCGGCTTAGTCTGTAAGTATGTGAGAGCTAGAAGTGAAAATACTATTAAAGTGGCTCCTGCTAATTTATGAAATATGAAAACCTGTTTAAGAGTCTTGCTTAGGCAAGATGATTGATAGATCTCTTAGTGCTAGATGTATTTTTATTTAGAGGAGAAAAACCAGAAACTTCAGCAGTTAACTGACACAACAACCAGAGAGCCGGTGGGAAAGAGGAAGACAGAAGAGTAGTACTAGCTTGAACTGATCTTATTATGTGGGAAAACTTGAAAGTCTCAAAATGGGAAGGAAATGTTACCACAGGAATGGGGAAGAAACTGGCTGGTGCAGCTTTGCAAAGCTGGCTGTGAGATTGTCATACTTCATGGCTTAGGGAGTGGATATTGTTTTACTTGGTAAAACTTTCCCCTTCTCCCTTTATTAAAATATTGTTGTTGCCATTGATTAAAATTTGCAATTGTGGATAGTAATGTCACTGAGCACCAATCTTGTAATTTAAATTCCTGGGTGAGAGGCTAACTTTGGGTTTCACTGGGAACCTCAATTCATGTGGGATCTGCCCCTTGCTGCCAGGACGAAGGAGAACAGCTACACAGCGTGGCCAGCCTTATCTTTCCTGCTGTTCCTGGGCATAGCAAGCTCCCGAGGTAGGTGTACAGTGTGTGCTGAGGAGGCTGTGCCACAGGAGCATGGCAAAGCTGGCAGTGGGGCAGCTACGTGCACCTCAGGGTGGCAGAAAGGCAAGGCAAAGACTCTGCCTTTGAAAATGCAGCCCTGGGAAGGATTGTGGATTCTGTTACTTGCTCTCACTCTTGTGGAAAGTCTTGCGCACCAGTTGTGATGCTTCATCCTCAGAGACCTACACACCCTTGTGTTTGCTAAGTAGTGGAGATATCTGGGGAACCTGAGGCATGCTGTGATCTGTTCCAGATTTCTGCTCTACTGCCTGGCAACCAGAAGCAAGTGGAAATGAGAGATGCAAAGTTTTGCTCCCATAAAATATTATGGGTGTAAATTAAAAAATTTAAAATTTTTCTAGGAACATTGAGTTCTCTGCAAAGAAGGCAATAAAGTACTTGTGACAAGGTGAATGGACAGGACCCAGTTTGTCAGGAGTTAAAACTGCCTCAGTCAGCTGGAGGCTTACCAGCCACTAGCTATTAGGATAGTCATTTCCCCTCAGGAAATACCTGCTGGTGTATCAAGGGTAATTGCTAGCAGTCAGCTGTATCCCCAGAGGGTGGGTATATAAAATCATCAGGAAAAGACTGAACTGTTCCTAGTAGGAGGCAATAGCAACTGTGACTCTGTTAGTGTGCATGTATGTTTGTGTGTGTCTTTGTTGTTTATCTTAATGAAGAATCTTAATGTAATGTAGGCTTTTGTTTCAGTTTTAACCCTAGATGTGACTCATCTTAGGGTTTCTGCTGAAGCTTGAATTTTACAGACTTCTTTCCTTATCTGAGGCCACCACTTGCAACACTGACTGGTTTGTCACAAGTATTCTCCAAAACAGAGTCGATAATTACATTCTCCTGAATGGCTTGGTGTCACTATGCGGTTTTGTTTCTAAAATACTTGAAATAGAATTCCTATGTGACCTTCACTTTGTTATGCTCCTGCCAATCTTTCCTCTCACAACAGGAGTAGACCCTCTTGCTTTCCTGAGTCTTAGTTAAATTGTCTGTGAAGCAGGTAGATCAAGTAATGTCTAGTGGTTACCCTTTAAAGTTCATTCTAAAATTTACAGCATTATAAAAATGAAAAACAAGCCAAAAATTATAGAAGCACTTGTGCAGTCAGTTTAAAGATTTGCTCACTCTCCTGCCTAGGCAGAGGTGTCCCTGGAATATCAGATCCATCAGTGCTAGCCTGTCAATTAATCTACTCTTTGCCTCCATACTTTCTGCAGTCATAAATTTCCCAGAAGTGCAAAGAAAGCCAGACACTCAAAATAGGTCATCCTACTGATCCTTATCTCTTCATCTGGACATATTCCCACATAACCAGGCTTTTAATCATGCTTCCTGGGCTTCTCCTCCACTCTCCAAAAGAATCCTCCAGCCATCAAGTTGTTACTTGGTTGTTACCTCACATGGAGGCTCTCCCTGCTTCTCCACCTGCTCTGGCTCCCTCTTCCACACTCCCACATCTGTTGCATGTGTGTTTGAGTAGGATCCACTGCCTCCTTACCAATGGAGTGACTTTGTCAAACACTGAAGTGAGCTTCACTTGGTTGTGAAGTTAGGTACCTCCGGGATGTAGTCAGCACTTGCATGCTCTCTGAAATGAATAGTAAGGCCTGTCATGATCATGTTATCAACTAACCGCAGACTAACATGGTTTTTGAACTAGAATAAATGTCAAATATATAATAGATTTAAGAGAGTTCATAAGCCATTTTCTAGTAAGTCACAACTACAGAAAAAGGAATAAATTGATGAATAAACTATTCACAGTGCAGGTGTTTCACTAAAGCAGTTTCTCAGCAGAAAATGAGATAGGATTCAGGAGTAAACCATCATTATTTACTCTGGTCTTTCTTTCTTGTGTTCACCTCCTGAGATGAGGGAAAGCATCTCCTTTCAGGCTGCTGTGGTTGTCTTAGGAGTAGTGAAATCTTCTCTGAACAGCTTCAGATAGTTTATAATGAAATCTTAAACCTTTGCATGTACATGGAAGTATGTCAGCTTCATTATTCTAATTTCCAGAACTGAGCAAACCATTAAGCTGAATTCTGAAAGAGTTCTTGATTATAAAGTTAAAACCAGCAAAATAGTAATAACACTCATTCCCCCCATACTCATCCCCCTTCCCAAAACAATGGGGAAGGAAATACCTTCACATCCAAACTGTTCAGATGATGCTAGTTTTTCCTTTGCTTGGTATATTCTTCCTGGGATGCTTTGTAGGATGATTAGAAGAGGCTTGAGGAAGGCACATGATTTGATTTCCTGGTTAATTTCCAAAACACTGTGTTGAAGCTGTTAGTTCATTGCCTTGCTGCCCTTTTTAAGTGGATGGGATCTATTGAAGGGAAGAGATGAATTCTCTCCGCAACAGTGCAAACCTTTGTGAAAATGGATCCCCTTATAAATGGGCCAATCCTCTCCCTGAAAAACAGATGCCAGAAGCAGTTATGGGACATTATGTTTCAGTTCTAGAGACTTCCAGTTCTAAGAATAAAGTAAAGGAGTCATTATTTATCTAAACAAGGCCTTTATGCTATGGTTCAGTGGCTGCTGGACAGCCGTGTGATCTGTCTTGTGTAATGCGCTCACCCCCTCCTTTCCCAGTTTGGAAAAGAGAAAAAAGGACTTGTACTAGCTCAGAACATACTTGCACATCTCACTGTCTATTGTGCTGGGCCGCTCTGTCTATTATGGCCCATTAGATAAACAGGGTGCTGAGCAGCCTCTCAGCTGCCGATACGCACAGCAGCGCTGATAACATGCTCTATGTTTAGAAGGGAACCAGTGCGTCACAGGCTATGTGGGATATGTTTACACATACGTGCTGTGTACTTTCTCCTCAACAACTGAGAGCTTCCATCACAAAGCCCCCCTCTCTCTCTGAGGAAACAGGCGGGTTTTGAAACCATAGTCTTTTATCTTTTGTGATGGATTTTTTTCATGCTGCTTCTCAAAATATCGCCTTGTATTTCCGTGTCTGAGGGTAAATGAAGTGAGATGCAGATTCCTGATCTTTCCCTGCTCCTGTAGGAAGCTGCATTTTAAATACAGAAGGAAGGAGACAACTGGCTGAAGGCATACTTTCTCTGTGTTACTGATTCTGTCAAAGTTTCTGTGTATATGAGGCAGCTGACTTCTCTCAGGAGCTTAGTGGTCAAACAAGTTACATTTTACAAAAGAATCTGATTTTTTAAAAGTGACTTAGGCACTTCAGAGCCAAGATTTCTTTATTTGATAATGGGGCTGGGGTTTATCTATTCAGGGAGGCAATACAGCTTTGCTGCGTTTGGTGTTGACCTTCTGATATGTACACAACGCAACACAAAAGCTCCTCTTGTACTTCTGAAAATGTCACCCAAAGCACACAGTGCTCTGGAAACCACGTTTTGTGCAGGGCTAGTCCAGGATCAGTGAGCAGAAGCTTGCAAAGAGCAGACAGACTAAGGAGGGCTTGCCAGTGTGACAGGGCAAATAATCAGGAGCCACTTGCTCCTTGATTATGTAGTGCAACAAACTGAGCACTGACTAAATTGTGAGAAGTTAGGTGTTCTCATTTTTCATATGGGAGAGGATGTGAATTTTAATCTGGGCCCAAGTTAATGGTCACTGCAACAGAGAAGGAGCTCAGCATCCCCATTTACTGGCCAGTGACCAACCTGAAGTGACCATGTCACCTTTCCTGCTATGTGCAGCTGGACACAGGGCGCATGTTCAGAAGTATAAAAATTCTCTTGACTGCTCAAGAGGCTTCTTGAGCAATGGCCAGGTTCTAATGTGTAATGGTAATGCCCCAATACAAGGTAATAAAATAATATGTCCATTAAGACACACTTTACATACTATCCAAGTACTTGCTTTAAAACACTCAGATTGCAGCCTTCTATACTATACTACACAGCAAAAAATGCTTAGAATGTGATGGTTCATTACAACAGAATGAGTCCAGTGAATCGTTCATTCTTGACATTTTTTATGTTCCATAATTGTGATGTTATTAACAGATCAACAAAACAGTTCAGCAAAACCTTAAAAAATTTCAAAGTTGTTCCCATGGAAAAGAGCTCAATTTTTCTTTCAAGATTTTCTTGGCAGCCCATGCTTATGATATTTTTAATTAGCATTCTAATGTAAGATGTACTAGTAACAGTATTCTGATTTTCAAAGTATTGGTAAACAAGACAACCCACATAATGTTTTTAATCTCTCCTTTATGATTAGAATCACAAGTATTAAACAAAAATTTATTGAAATGGAAAAATGTTGGCAATGCCAATACTTTGTCATGAGTATTTTAGCTATTTAGCATTAAAAATGGATGCTTTTATTTGATAATATTCAAAGTTTAGAATGCTCTCATTTTTGTGGACTACCTATTTTCCTTTTACCCCATTGAATCCTTTTGAAACTTGGAAAAGCTTTAATGCTTATATACAGATTCTGTTTTCACTGCTTTACTACTTCTTGAAGAGTGCTAAAGTTAGCTTCTTTACCTGAATTGTCATACTGGAAGATTCCTTTTGTAGTGTTATGAGGAATCATATTAATAGCATGCCTTAATTTCCAGTAAAAATTTTGGTCACGATCGCAGACTTCAAAAATCGGTGTTTTAACTTGGTCTTATTCCCTGATATTCATATTTTTTCTCTTCTTTTCATCCACTCTGCTTTCAGTGTCAAAATATGTCATATTTTTTTCTGGTGAAGGATTAATTCAAACTTAATAAAAATAAGAAAACGTGACACAAATGCATACACAGTGAAATTCAGCCCATGGCTGGAATAGTGCAGCATTTACATAGAAGTCCCAAAGAATGTAGGGTGTATTCTGGACATTTTTGGCTATCAGAAAAGTTCTGGTAGTTTCCATTACTGTATTAGATGTCTTTGTTTGGACATTTGCACAAGTGAGTGAAGTTGAGACTGAAAGTTAAATTTGTTATTAAAAATACTCTATCTCTATCTATACCTATATCCAATCTGTTTTACTTGCATATTCATTTTACAACATAACCACCTACAGTGAATTTGACTTATTTTTACTCAATGTTTGGGTTTTTCTTAATATACAATTGTTTTTTAAATGTACAATTATATCAATCACAGTGCAGGTATGTGAGTTAGGTGTCCCTCTGAGCAGGAAGCCTAATAAGAGAAATTTCAGATGTTTCTAGAAATTCCTGGTGCTTATCTCACCTTGTCTCATCTAGTAGACATCAACCAGTGCAGAAGCACAGAGAGACTCTGCCAGGTTTGCATTGTTCCCTTCCTGCAAATGTCATATGGTGGAGAGTTTAAAGACAGAATCATAGAAAGGAGAAAAGAATGAGGATTGGACAGAAAATGTGAGAAAAGAGGATATCCTAGCCTAAGAACTAAAATCTCACTTAGCCTTGCTTTTAATATAGTCCATACCGAACTTTCATTCTGGTCAGTCTGGGTGCACTGTTCAAGCTAGAGGGACCTTCTTCCAGATTCCATCAAGTCCAAAATATCTCCAGCTGGGCACTTCTTTTGCTCCTATTCTCTGACTGACATTTAATTAGATGTTTCTGATGGTGTGTTTTAAAGCAGGAGTTGTTTTAGGTAGACCACTCTTGTTAACGGCAATTAACATCAGTAGTTCTAGGTCTGGCTTCTTCATCTGGCCTCCTGCAATGGTTATAAAGTTTAGGCAGGGAAGAAAGCAGTCACACATGAGAAGTGAGTAATCCTCAGTGAAAATCTAGTTGTATAGAATGTCTGTTCTCCTTGCACACATCTCTGGCAACAGTATATCACCACGTAGTAGTGATACAGGAAAGCTAAACTGAGTCATTCACACACAGGAGAAATGCAGTCCTGACAGAAGCAAGCAATCTAAAGTGCTAGTGTACATATGCAATCAAATATATACAGTATAAATCCTGTTTCTCAGCAGTAATTTGAGTGAAGAAGGGTTCAACTCTAAATGCAAATACATTCAGTGTATGATTCTGTTTAGATAGAAGTAGTCAGTAAAACATTATATTATTTCTGGTTTATACATCAAAGCAAGATTTCTTCTGAACATTAGGCAGTGGCAGCTATTACAATAATTCCTAATTTGGTCATATTTTCACATGATAACACCCTTGCTTTCATACAGAACATTTTCCTTACAGCTATTGAAAATTAGCATTGTTCATTAAAATAAAATGAGGGTAGAGAGGGCAGCAGAGTGATGGGGTGGTGCAGTGGCAAAATACAAGCCAAAATGAATTATAAAATATCTCCTACTCTTTGAGTTTATGAAATATTACATTGGGATTTCAGTTCCCAGCATCCCATCCAATTCCCACCTTCCTAGATTCATATGGGCACACACAACCCTCATGCCCTTTTACTTGACCATATCAAGTGAAAATCAGCAACAGAAGGAAATTTCTGTTTCATGCTGCAAAGTCTACATGACTACCATGGAATGCTGACCAGAACTAGTATGTTCTGGTTGATTGTCTGCAAAGGTCAGTGATAATACCAGGAGCATGAGAAGCCGGACTGTATATTATACTTATCAGAGATGAGTATAATATGCTGTTGGTTAAAGGCATATTTAAAACGATGAATTGCTTTGATGATAACTCTAGCTACAGCTGTTATGGTTCTGGGTGGATCTGCTGCTCTCCAGAGTCTTTTTCCTGGTGTAAGCTGCTCCTGTGTGCCAGTGGAGACCAAGTGTTTGATGATGGTCACTCTTCTCAAGATTGGTACTTTCATGGAGTTTAACAGTGCTTCATACAAATATCTGCAATTGGATAGGGAGAGAAAATGTTGGAGATATTTGGGAGAAAAATGCCGTTTATTAATAACAGCCATTGAAATGCATTCTTCAGACCAAAAAACCCCAAAAACCCAAAACAAATCAGAATCTCAAGTGCATAGATTCATCTTCTGTGCATTTCTTACTAGGTGAATAGCACCATCTTGACTGCAGTGAACAACTGTGTACTCTAGTGTGGAGCAATGTCTTGTTCAAATTAAAAATTTCAGGATTTGGCCTCAGGAGAGTTTTTCTTGACTGAGGACTTTGAGGTCTGATTAGCAAAGGCCAACCATTAGTCAATAAATTGTCATCTTTCATCAAATAATGTGTTTGATAAATCAGTTAGTCTGGTATTCAATCAACTTTTTAGGCTGCTCATAAAATGTGATACTTGTCAAAGAAAACATTTGTCAAACAAACATTGTTGATAAATTTCTGCAACATCCACTCATATCTAGCTTACAGGTTTGCCTTACAAAGAACTTTCCATTACTTATAGTCCTGTTTTCCTCCTGCATGTTCCCCATCTCTCCCCCCACAATGCAGCTAGAGGAATAAATATTTTCCTTGTCATCGCTTCAGTGTTTTTTCACAAAGTTTTGGAA